TATAAGAGGAATGTGAGCACTAAAGTGTATGTACTCACCATATATGAGAGGAATGTGAGCACTAAAGTGCATGTACTCACCATGAATAAGATTAATGTGAGCACTAAAGTGTATGTACTCACCTCATTTTTAAGCGCGTTCTTGTGGTCCTCCAGCACGCGTATGGATCGCTGCTTCGAGTCACTGCCACTCTTCATGCTCTGTTAAATGTATAGGGAAAACCACATTTTTTATTTTCATTCATAAATTACAGTTGTAACTTTCGTCATTGTAATGCATTACTCGAGTAGCATTTACAATAAACAGCTTTCTTGATTTTTCAAATTCCAGGCAGGCCGAGACTTATTTTGTAACCTACCTCTAGTAACCTAACTAAATTACATGTATACCAAATATTTCACTTCATAAGCATTCATGATGAATAAATTGGTTCCTCATCTATTTTTCAGCTGAACATCAGACCTTAAGCTGAACACCAGACCCCAAGCTGAACATCAGACCCCAAGCTGAACTCCCCAAGTCAGGACACCAAGCCCCAAGTCGAGATACCAAACCCCAAGTCAGGACACCAGTCCCCAAGTCAAGATACCAGACCTCAAGCTCGGCATGCTTCTCAGTGGCCAGGCGATCAAGGTCAGTCTCCAGGCGCTGCTTGGCGTCCTCCAGCAGTCCACATCGCTGCTCCAGTCTGCGGCAGCGCTCCTGCAAGTCTCCAGCTTCTGCCTCCGTGCGACCTTGCGCCGCCTTCGCCTTCGCTAGCCGATCCTAAACGTTGAAAATAAATTATTATATAATTTTAAATAATATTTTAATTACAAATTCTTGTAATATAATACGAGCGCATGGACTCAAATAAATACATTAATCTTGCAGATAAATAATCAAATTTCACATGAGTCAAGTTGATTCGTCTTGAATAAAGTTAACTCGGAGACGCATTAATTCACAACGCAACTTTTGACAGGTTCTGGTGGTCAGCAAGAGCTGAAAATGGCGCTATGAAATAGTTATTGACGACAGCTTCTCGATTCCAATATCGAATTCCAGCCTTATCTTCTGCCGATTCCCGTCAAGATCTTCTACTGTCTGATTCCCATCAAGATCATTCCCTCTCAGATTCCGGGAATGATCCTCCAATTTAATTCCCGTCATTTCCACCATTTGATGATCCACATCTCACAGGACGTGCTGGAGACGAAAGAGTCCCTAAGTCTGACCTTGAACCGCAGGACATCGTACTCGAGGTCAGCCATCCTGCACTTGCCGGCGTTGATTTCCTCGGTTAGCTTCCTTATCACAATCTCCTTGTGGTGCAGCGCCTCCTCCTGCGCAAAAAAAAAACTGTTAGATTCAGTGAGATATGTGCAAAAAATGTGATAAAAATGAAGGCAATCTCTTTCGCAAAACTATAACCATTATATATAGTTTTTTCATTACGGAATAATGTAATTATCTCAACTGCTATCATAAATACATTTTCACTTGCCCAATAAGATCATTGATATTATTGAATTTGTAATGGATTTTAATGCGGTAGAGGGATAATCATTTAGAGTCCATTTTTCCCAAAGAATGAATTTCTCTAGAAAGATTTAAAAAATGAGGTCAGCCAGACAACTATTCTTTAATACTCACATTGTGCCCCATGGCAGCCGTGCTCTTATTAAGCCTGTCGTCAAGGTGCCTCTTCTTCTCCTCGAGCTCCACCAGCGTCGCCGTCACCTCGCGCAGGCGGTCGACTGTACGCTGCTGCGCCTCGCGCATCTCGCCCACCTCGCGCTCAAGCGTACATGCGTGAGACTGCGCCTCGTCCTTTCGAGAAGGTTAAATACTCTTATTACTTCAATACAACTTTTAATAACTAAACTGAAACATCTAAACTAATATTAGCAAACATCTAAACTACTGAAACATTTAAACTACTAAAGTTAACTAACTGAAAAATCTATACGTAACCTAAAATGGTTAAGTACACTTAGAACTTCAGTAAAACCTTTAGTAACTAAAAATATAAAGAAACCAAATAAATGTTATTTTATCACCGTATAACTAATACACTACCATTATTGCACATATTTTACCTGCACGTAAGACCAACATTAATGCTTTGGCCGGTTAATTACTGCATTCTAGATTACTAGGATTATGTTTCAGTAGTACTGGAATTGCCTATTGTTCTTTACGAAAAATTTAATCTTATTACCAGCAACATCACCTTTAAATATTTTTAACACGAACAGACCTCACCCTCTCACACTCGATGGTATTGATCAGGTTCATGAGGGTAGAGTACTACTCACCCTCTCACACTGAGTGGCGTGTAAGCTCCGTTGGAGCGCTCCCAGCTGCTGCTGCAGCGCCTCCGCCCGTCCAGCGTGGCGTGATGCACCCACCTGACACAGTTTTTATTCAAACTTTACACTAGAAATCAGTAAAACTCACTGACAAGTTTAAAAGTAAATAACTCATCTAATAATCGAGTTGATTTCACATGATGAATTTGGGCCGTTACGGGTGATGGGAGTTCAATGGAACCTGCACCGAGGCCAAGTAAGTCTATTAAGCTCTCTTAATATTCAAGATGAGCAATCTGACATAGAGTTGATTCAATTCTAAATTCAGCTCGAGGGATTCATGTAGAAATAATTCACGTCATCAAAGGACATTCAGCACTGTCTGTCTCTACAGGAGTCGCATTTTGGGTTCGCAGTAAGGCAATCCGTATGATTGATCATTTCAGCAACACATCGTTATAATTGATCTTAGGCCTTTACGGATGATGTAGTCATTCAGAAGAACAGTGACAAGGGAATTGGTAGAAATTCACGGGAATGACGGTTGCCTCATTTGCCTCTTTTACGGTGCTATCTCACTTCTCCAGCTCGTATCTCTCCTTTTTCAAAAAACTATAAATGTCGCGAGAATTATCGCATACCGGTGCAGAATCCTACAAAACGCTAAGTTCACCTTCTACTAAAATATAAACCTGCTAATTTCGAAATAAACAATTTGCCATGAATAAAAAAATCTGAATAATTGAGTATTAAAAAATCCGAATAATTTTTAATTTATTAATTTCCGCTGGATAAATATTCTTTATAACTGGAGTCTATACCATTCCAGTAGGAGTGGATTCTCGGACAGCACGTTCAGGTGGTGGATGTCATCATCACTCACCTGCATCACACATGAGCAGCTGCAAGGATGTCTCAGACAGCACGTTCAGGTGGTGGATTTCCTCACAGTCGCCTTTCATGGAAATCTCCTGCTTCAGCAGCAGGCGGATGCGACAGAAGACGCGGATGTTGCCCTGTCAAGAAGTGTACGCGTTACACAGATATAACTCAATGTATAACTCATGTTATTCAACGCTACACCTGAAAGACCAGATGTTGGGTAGTGTCCACAAGCTGCACCTGAATATATATAATAAAATAAGAATAACTGTATCAATAATATTTAAATAGAAAACAAATAGTCATCCAGGGCCTTAGAGTTCCCATAGCTAATATAGATGTAGAAGGAGTCTATATAGATGTCATGCAGCACATGAAGGACATCAGATGCACGAAACACAACCAAGCCGCCATGACTCACGTACCTTAAGCTCCTGCACTTGATTATGAAGCTTCTTCCTTAAGGCCTCCCCCTGCAGCAGATCGCGGCAAAAAAAATCGCGGGTTTTAAAGGCAAAAAAGTCACACTTTTCAGGAGAGCAAAAATAGAGTAACGAGTTAAAAAAATTGTATATATGCCCAATCGCAATCCAAACTATGCACAAATCTAAAAAAAAGGGCTTCGTTACTCGATAGGTATGGTCTTTACAAATCGAATGGTATATGTCTCATCGCTGTAGCTTTAAAACTGTAGGAGATAGATTTTAAAGTCAAAGAAATGAGTTTAAAAAATAGTATCCATGCGCATGGCACTGGATCCCCGGCTTTACCTCATTGTCGTCCAGTTGGCGCACGAATAATGAAAAGAATTATCACAGAGAAATGAAGAAAATTACTTAGTGAGAAAGTTGGAGTGGAAGAGCTAAAACAGTCTCAGTGTCCGGGTATTTGCTTGGCCAAGCGATTTAATCTTCGTTTACAAGTAATAAATCGTCCCTTGAACACTTCATCAACTGCAGAAAAATCAAAAAAATTTTAAGAGAGAGATAGCGGAAGAAAAATCAGAAGTTGCCCGCGCCGTACGAAGGATCAAGAATGGAGGAATGCTTCGCCTTCTTCCTAGCTGGAGTCAAGACGCGGGCCTCAGCTTCTTGCAGTGTCGTCAACAAGCTCTCCGAACGCAGGCCAAGAGCTCGAAGAAGGCTGCCATCCACATGACTGAAGTTATGTTCCAAGGCAGTTGCTCGAGCAACAAAGAGAAAGCTTTCCATAGTCGCGAATTTTTCCTTATAGAACACTTCAGCCATATCATCGAGTGCAGGCTCTCGTTGCAGTTCTGCGTTCGTTGTTTCATGCACCGCAGCAAGAGCTCGGGTGTTGTCAAATCGACATAAATCTTCATGATGTCGGACAACATTTCTTGCGATAAATTCGCCAACCAAAGATTCTTCGTGGAGTGAGGTTCTGGTACCTTTCCCAGGGCTTCCACTCTCCGGACCCAGCACCACGAGTCAGCTCCAGTGGGGCAGCTATAGTGCTTCGGATTGGCATCTGTGCTAATGGAGTGGGAGAATGTTGCCATGATCGCTGCTCTCACTTTAGTGCAGCAACATCTCTACAATAGGCACGCAGTTGTACCCGGCAGCAAAGTCTAGCGGAGTGCTGTGCCGGCCGTCCAGGTCCCGCACATTCACCAGGCTGGGCTGCGCTGCTAGGATGATCCGCATGCACTCTACATCTCCCGCGCGAGCCGCATCCTAGCATCCTAGTTTCTGTTTTTAAATATACTGAAACATCCCCTGTTCCTATGCGATCGTCTCTGCAATTAATGCTGTTCAATAAGGATAAGAACTCACAGACAAGTCAAATGATAATGAAATTGTGGACGTTTGGCCATTTATTTTACTAAAGACGGACAAAGATTGCGTTTTCATGAACGAGCGAACAAACTTTGATCTGTAACACAGGAAAAAATTAAAACTGCACCGAATTTGCAAAACTATGACAGATAATAGATGCCAGCAAATAATGAATATATTCCAAGGCAGAAACACATGAAATATTAAATAGTGAGTTCTAATTACTATTTAAAGTCAGCAAGAACGAATACTTTCCGAGAAAGTAAGTAATCGTTATAAATTCACGACTCGGATTGTTCAGAAATTTTGCAAGCATGAACACTCAATAAAACAATGACTTCTGTCTCGCATTGAAAACGAGATATAACGTTAAGAATTTAATTTTAACATTAACAGAATAGTTAATCAGATTTTTAACATGTTATGGATATAAATTATGGAAATGCTGAGTATTTCATATGAGAACATCATAAAATAGATAATGTAATGAAGAAACTAATAATACGGAGAACATGGAGCGGTGGCCGCGATCTTGATGCCGCGTCGAACTTAAGATAACAAAGCAACGGAATTGTGTGGATGATCAAATAACTCGTCCCATATTATTCGTGCTACCCGAAAGAAAGTTGAGTGCCATGAAACGATATTTACGGCCTCCTCATTTGTCCTAACATTCATTGTACATGAAAGAGAATATCATGATGGTTGCACAAATTTGCGAGAAGTTCAGAAAGATCATGGTTCAGAAAGGTAGCAGTGGGCCCAGCTCAAATTTAGTTTACTTTTTCTAAACGCATTTATGCGCTCCAAACGGGATATTTTCACGCCAATTGGACATGAAGTCACAGCATTCGCTTTTAAATAATTTGTCTTTCCCATGTGCACTATGGACATGGGCCTCAAAAGTGTATTTGTCATTATCCTGGTAAGTGCACCCATCTACTAAACACTTGTATTTTTTTCCCGCCTCTGGGCGCGGCGAGATGCTGCGACTGGGTGCAGGCCGGCCGCGGCGTGCAGCAGCACTCACGCTTTGCCTGCTGACAGCAATAGAAATCATCTAACTAAGTTGTGTTAAAATAATATTAATTAATTAAGAAAAGTAATTATAATACAATATATATATATATTATATAACATAATAATAATTAATAATATACTAGTCAGTATAATTTCATAAAACAAAAAAATTTAAACAATTTTTAATGTAACTCACTCCTCCGGCGACGCTGGAGGCACCTCCTCGGTTGGCACCTCCTGCTGACTGGCATCTTCATCACCACCTTCATCACCACCTTCTTCACCTTCATCACCACTGGCGCCTTCATCACCACCTTCATCACCACCTTCTTCACCTTCATCACCACTGGCGCCGTCATCATCACCGAAACACTCTTGCGCGTACCAATCCACTATTTCCGCGAGTTCTTCATCTAGTTCCTGTAATTGGGAGCGTATTAAATCCGGTCACGATCTTTAAATCGGTCATACACGCTGCACACGTGTAATCGGTCATACATGTATTTACTAAAGTCGAAAAAATAAAAGTTCATCTCAAACTCGTTTGTTAACAAAACGTTCAATTTAAACATATTCACAGCAATCCTAAAAAACTAAAACATTTCGTTATGCAACACCCTAAAAAACAACGTACTTAAACATTCGGCACGGTCTCCTTGGCCTTCCAAACCTTGCCTCTCTCAACCTTCCACACCTCGAGACCCCACTAGCTTTTATCATCCTCCTCCTCTCCCTCATCCTCCATACGTTTTCCAAATATCTCTTCACACTCTCAACCTTAGATGCAGTTGCTCCCTCAGACAGACCCGTAATTATTACCATCCACTCTTCGCTTGTTCTCTCATACCCCACTTCGTTAACTTTACCTCTCTCATTCAGAATCACCTCCATCATAGACTGACGCTCTCTCTCATACGCCCCAAATTCCATTACCAACTGCTCCACAGTTTTCTTCTCATCCCCATCACACATAAAACATGTATCTTCCCTCCTCTCATTCCACCTTATGTACGTCCATTCACACCTATAGCGCCCCTGCCCTAACACAAAATAGAAGGTCCCCATGCACCTCTACCACCATCATACATGCATTCATATTTTGGCATCGCATTCATCTGATGCAGTCTTAGTGTCCTTTTGCTCCATTCCTTGCTTCCGCACCTTCAGCCCATAGTCTTTCACTCGCTTATTTATTTCTCTTTTCCACTATTTTTCAACCCACCCTATTCCAATCGCATCCCGTACTGTCATCACCCATTCGTCTTGGTCCAGCGGGTCCATGGCGCACCCATGCTTCATGCATATCACACTTATGTACGTGGCCATTTACTCACCTTCATGTTCCACATTTACATCTTTCGTGCCCAATGTTCATCGTCCATTCGCTCCAGTCTCACTTTATACATTCAAAACCGATTTCATTCTTCTCTCCTTCAAGGTACTCCATCCCATGTCCCCTCCCAGGGCTTCCACCGCAGTCCACCTGGGGCTCCTAGTGCCAATCTCGCCACTCTATTCTGTACCAATTCCAATTTATCCAGTTCACCATCACTATATGCTATCACATCCAGTCCATACATAATACTAGGCACTGCCACACTCTTTTACACTTCCCTAAATACTTCATACTCGCTCTCACTTTTGCTGCACTTCAAGGAAATCCATTGATTCGCCGTACTGAAATTCGCGGCCTTGGTTCTCTGACATCCCTCCTGGTCCACACACACCCCTCTCATTTGTCCTAACAATCTCATTCCCTCCCAACATCCACACTCTGCTCGTATCCTCAACCGATCCATTCACAACAAGTACTTTGCTCTTCTCCGCACTGAATCGCACAGTGAAGTCACTCCCATACTCTGTCACGCAGTCCAGCATATGCAGTTCTTCGCTATTTTCACTCAAAATCACAGCATCATTAGCATTCAGAAGCATTTTTAACCTTTCGCCACCCACACGCACACCAACATCCATTCTCCTCACCGATTCATCCGAATCGTAGTCCCTCCAATTGAACTTAGACATGCCGCCTATCTCGAAAAGCCTGTCCTTTCTTTCTTGCCTGTCCTGCACATAAGGAATAAATAATTAACAGTATATATTTGTATGCCATTGCACAGCCTGTACCTAATGCGTGATGACTAGGGAAGAATGATTGCTGTACGAGATACTAGGGATGAACGCATAATAGCGGTTTCAGCGTTTATTAGGCCTGAGGCCTATCGCCGATTCTTAATATCATAGAACATTCACAGCATTTTGCGGTTTCGAACTCGCAAGTCACTACTACAATTTTGCTGTGCTTAACCGCCCAGCCTCCTCACCGATTTGGACCAGAAACTGGCGCACAGAGCTGAGATCGAACCGGCGCCTCTCTGCGCCAATCGTGGTACTACACAGGCATGCAATAAGCTTCATGCTGCGCGATAACGCAGAATAAAATAAAACCGTGAACAAATGAAAGACTTTTTGCATTTGCTCAGAATCGCGCTATTTTCCCCGTATTGGCAACATTGCTGATTTTTGCGATATGTATTTCAAATTCATCGAGAAAAGCTGATGCGAATCTTCAAATCAGCAATTCATTGCGTTATCTTTTATTTCACGAGAAACGAATATAATTCCCGAGTATAAATTCATTACAATTTCCATACAAAACCATGAGTGCTCTATGCATCTCTTGGACAATAAAATGAACGACAATGATATGAGATTGGTAAGCGTGTCACGACAATTCCCAATATATTACCAGAGAGATTAAGGACAGCGTCAATATTGGACATCCATGCCATCGATCTGAGCGGCTAACGTAAAACGCCATTTGAAATATTCACATCAATCCAGATAAATCGGAATGTTATACGGACAAACTTCATAAATTGAATTATTTGTGAACTCAGCCTCGTCGAACGTCTGTTTCTTTGTTGACTATTGAATGCTTGCATGATAGCACATCATGCAGTGATACCGCATATGCTATGATACCACATCATGCTATGTTGCGAGCTCATGCTATGATACCACATCATGCTATGATACCATGATATTTACATGATTATTGCTAGGACTAGACTTGATCTATTTTATTTTATGTGAAGTAAAGGTATGCGACTTTTAAGCACACTTTTAATCTGGCACGTGCAACACGAATGCAACTAACTGCTTGTCTGAAGGGACTAATTGCCTGCAAATCATATCAATTCATCATATAGCACGAAAATACTATCAATTATTCATACCTCCTCTTTATTTAAGACGAAGTAATGAGCTATTGAAGCAACACAGGACGGATAACTTGTTAATTTCTAAGAAGGAGATGAAAGCAGAATTCGGTGTATTGGACATTATACAGAAAAGGTCCAATAATGGCCCAACGCGTCAACCAAATAAACAGAATGTACAGTGTTAAGCCGCTTGTTACACATGAAACTCTGTGCCCAAGGTGCAAGGTAACAAAAAAAATCTTACTAGTTTATTAGTATTAGTATTAGTTATTTTAGTTTGTACCCGATATATAATAACGTGTAATCTCAAACAGCGAAACTATGTTCAATAGACATTCAAAATTATTATCTGTACATCCGTATTACGGAAGGAAAATGTCAATCGAAAATGAGCTGGTCTGCGAATTGGGTGAGAAGTCCAACGACTATCAGTTGTGAAAATCATTGAAATTTTTGTACAAATGAATGAAATGTATGAGAGAAACAAGGGGGCAATATGGTAAGCAAACGAAATGAAAATGTTTGCCGCTTGCGGTTGTTACAGTAGGCACTGTTGTTAGCGTATGCGCGTTGTTGCAGTATGCGCGAACCATACGGTATAAGTTTGTAATAGTATACAGTTGTTATAGCATGCGGTTGTTGCAATATGCGGTTTTTACAGTGCGGCTTTTCAATTTAAAACTATTATGCAAACAGTTGTAAGCTCCGAACCAACTTTATTATGGTAAAAACGTCGTTACGGCAACGATGCGTCTGTATATCAGCAAGTGATCAAAAATCGGCAAGGTTTGTTTGAATAGTTAGAGACAAGAAACGTTTGATCGCTTGTCTTGTCCCACAAATTTTTAGTAAAAAGAACACAATACTCACATAATTAACTCAAGTCTTATAACAACTCTTCAGAAACTTGTAATGAGGAAAGCGGAATAGCGAGGAATAGCGTCTACTGGATCAATCCAGTAGACACTTACGCTAGGCTCACACCATACGGCCTGGCCGGGCAGATGCCGGTCGTGGTCCTGTCCAATACTAAATAATTCATTTCCATAGAAGCATTCACAGCATGGGCATGGCAGGTGTCTTGCACGGCTGGTGTGAACGCTTCTATAGGAATGCATTAAAGAATATTGGACTGGACCGTGACTGGCACATGCCCAGCAGTATGGTGTGAACCAAGCCTAACTGACAACATTTTCAAGTCACGCACACGAGTATTTCACAGCTACCTCAATTCGTGTATATTATATCAAATAAGAACCTCTTAATCTTTCACGAACAATTGAATTGCTGCTTTTTAAAGTTGAACATTGGAAAGAATACAATTGTACTTGCCTCGATAGCGCACAAAATTCTATTTAAGATAACAAAGTAACTTAAATATTTAGTTCAGAGTCACGTTCTCTTACACAAATTAACACGCAAAACATATTATGGAACTTGCAAAGTTAGTAAATACCTTTCGCTGAAATTGTCGCGATTAGTAAACTTAAGACCTGCCTGTAATTTTAAGGGGACCACGATGAACCCTTATAGCTTTAATCCCTCCGGAGAGTTGAAGTATTCCAAATAAGGCTTGCAAATATCCATAAAAATTACGAGTAATAGAACTAACTGCAAACGGATAATGTGTATCGAACATCATCTCAATGGAAAAATGTAAAACAGCCCTTGTTGGGGATTCAAAATCGGTTATAGTTTACATAGCTGAATAAAATTAGGAAAATAAAATTTTATTAATGTTTTAAATTCTGTTTTACCTTATTATCTAAGTTTTTCAGCGATGCTGAAAGTTCGAACATAACACAAGACAAATCTTGTGCATCAGGTTTTTTAGCATAGGATATTAAAGCAAGCGAAAACTTTGAGAGCCAAATTTTCGTCGCTGCACCGTACGAATGAAAACTTTTCACGACAACAACAATTGATTGCAAAAATGTAACGACCTCGCAAAAACATTAACGTTTTAGTGAAATTTTATTTAATTTAATAAATATAGGGCGCATGAGATCTGTTTTTCACTAAAGCCCGAAAACTATGAATGTTTGCGATAATTTTATCGAAGCATTAGAATCATGAGGTCCGTTGAAATGCGATTGTGAAGCTTCATGGAAAAGATCAGGTTTATGTTGAGAAATTGTATCCGATTTGAAGTGAAATGAAATGAAGCAAAATAATAATGTGCACTGTCATGAAAGCGGCACAAAATGCTCATATCATCGTAGCTAAAGTATGCCGTGGTCTATCCATATATGAAGAAATATCTTTCGTTAAACCATAATCACCATTGATCACTGTTTCATGAAACCATTATAACCAGCCAAAGCCCACGTCACAATAGGTAATCGCAATTAGTGCCATTATGGTATTTTTTGCATAAGCCAAATGAAATGAATAATAAGCCATTTTTTTTTTGAGAAGCCAAATGATCATCGGAAAGTAATGGACAAAACTGGACACGGTATAGAATACTTGGTGTTCAACATCCTTCTTAAGTTCTTCTTAAAATATCAGTACATAAAATTCCAAGATCATTAAAATTTCCAGCCATTGTTCATGATTAGCTAACCGATTGAAGTGTAAAATTTCCAAATCCAATCCATGCTCCGAGCATCTCTCAACATAGCTCATAAATTCCACCTCGTTAATCCGTCGTAAAATATTCACCTCGAGAGACCGAAAAGAACTCCGATGCAAATAATTCCTCTCGAGTGATCGTTTTTTTATGGATAAGAAATTTTTTTCGAAAGAATTACCTTAATAGCCTCGATATAAGACTTCCAACTTGCAACATTTTTGACCGAGTTCTCCCAAAATAACGGAACATTGGCGCCCGAAGATTATAATTGCCAGTCTAAGTGAGGCGATGCCAGTTCAATATAATTGCCAGTCTCAATTAATATTGAATTCCATGTCATCGGGTTCACTAAAATATTCTCAAGAAGGGGGTTCAAACAAAGCTAGTGCACACAGTCGCCGGGAAACAAGTAACCAAGGATCAGTTTTAATAAAAGTTGTTAAAGGAAAGTCGTGAACCGAATATTAGCCTTCATTGCGCGGTTCTGTGAGCTTGCAGCAAGCTGCCACACATAATCATTTAGGCGAAGTTAAAACATTACGCAGTGGCCAAAGTTTCTCTAATGACAATAAGAATCGCGAGTTACACCTTCAAGTTTGGCTGCAATATAAGCTGGCTTGCCGGCCTGTCCAGAGCAAATTGTTCTATGGTTACACGTCCAGTGAGCCATTAAGGACGTTGAAAATGGATCAAGATATTTCTGAATGAAACAGTATGTATACAAGAGGTACCTAGATGAAAAATTAAAATTTGAATGGTTTCCACGTGTTATAAAAGTGACTTATGTGGATAAAAGCCACTTACGTCGTTACGTGTAGTAAATGACGTTTGTCATATATTTTCAAGTTAAAATCCATGCTTTCGAAGAATATTTTCAGTAAAATTAGGGCATATTTAATTATTATTACATCGGTATGCCATATTGTCATTGTGTATTATATATGATCATATAAAAGGTAGTGGACATGTTAGTTGGTGTAATGCTGTACATGTGCAGTTTGCGTAATGCTGTACATGTGCAAGTTGCATAATGCTGTACATGTGCAGTTTGCATAATGCTGCCACCTGAGACAAGCTCGCAATCAGATAAGGTCTCAAAGTATTACAATCGAGCAACTTCATTTCAAGATCCGCAGTGAATTAAACTGGCTCCATGACAACCTTGACAATAACGTCAAACCCCGAACTATACGCAGCAACGGTCACTTCAAACGAGCGAGAGTTCTTCAAGAATCTGGTGTAATCAATAAATTTTGCTTCAAAGATGGTTGTAGACTTCTTCATTATTTTGGCTAAATTGGAGTAATTGGGGTAACCACTTCGACTTTGAGCAGCCATTTATCCTGCCACCTGAGACAAGCTCGCAACCAGACCAGGTCTCAAAGCATCACAATCGAGCAACTTCATCTCAAGATCCGCGATGAAATCAATAGGCCCCGTGACACACTCGACAACGTCAATCTCAACGAGACTGTCATTTGCACTGTGCTGGAGGAACCCACCAGCATCGTCATCTTGCGGTGGCCCGACATAATCCGACCGACGATAGCTGAAGCCCTTTTCTGCGGATTAGACTCCATCTATCATCTCATAACTACCTGATTTTCTAAGCTTTGAGATTGTTTTGGAATTATTTTCGCGGTTCCAAATTTTCTTGTTGTATCCTATTTACTTGTATCATGTACTTATTTCCATCAAAATTTCTGTATTCAATGCTTCCTGTAACTTGAAAATGAATGTTGTTACATTCGAAACGTCGTTAATAAATTGATATTACTCCCTTGAACCTGCATATTTATCAACTAATGTCATCTGAAGAATATTGTTCGACCCTGAAAATTTAAATTGACGAATTCTCTGGCCATTAACCACCCGTGTTGAAACAAGCTTATTCTGCCTTCTCATACTAAAATATATATATTAGTATAGGTTGGCAGAATTTTTTCTTTCAAGCAGGTTTCATTGAAGACCAGAGAATTTGTTTTATTCGCAATTTTCTTATTAGTTTTTTCAATATATCGAACAATATTTTTAGTTTGAACCGGCGAATCGAAAATCAGGTTACCGATGGACATTTTTATTTCGTTAACGACGTTTCGAATGTTTCTATCATTCATTATCAAGTTAAAAGGCGCATTGAGTGATGAAATTAGCGTCGACATAAGTACAAAGTCAAGTAAATAGGATACTACTCATAAAAAGAAAAAGTGCCAGCAGAAAACCAAGTGCCCGTACCACGCGGTGACTGCGCATCTATCTCCATGGTGCCACACGAATCTCCGAGGAAACTACGCGTGTGGACTTCAGCAAGCGTCGGGAACTTCCTCCAGCAACTAAGCTGAGTATTTTATCCCATATAAATGAGCCTGTTAAATTTAGTTGTTCTACCGTATGTGCATATTGACCTGTGTCGGAACGACACCAATGGCGACACTATCTATATGATCCTTCCGCACCATGCAGGTCGCACATTGTATAATAAACTTTATTAACGTTATTTTAAGCATGCTTTCATAAATAATGAATTGCCACATAATCTGTGCAACCACACCGTGCGTGTTTTCTTTCAAAATTCGAATGTCGACGCAACGCTTGACTGTATTAGATGTAGTCTTCTGTGGCAAAGTACTAGGTACCACAGTTCTTTCGCTACCAGCAACTCTTCTAATGTACGTCAATCAATGTTAGACCGCTATATAATTAATTCTATGGGCTACGATGACTTCATGAGAAGCCATGCTAAAACTAAAATGCCCTCAGGCTGACGCAATAACGTTGATCTCGATTAAAGCTGATTCCTTATTGAAGCTGATCTTGATTATAATAATAAGTTGATAGGCGCTAATTATGCAGTTAAAATCCAATTAATGATAAAACTTAATACTGCAAACCCTCTTAAAAATATAAACATGATGCTGCGATCGATTTTAACTAAATAATAATATTCTTGCGCTATGGAACGATTGTTCCCTGACTATGATCGAATAATTCTGATGTAAAACGATTCATTAGTCATAACTACAATGATTTTTTTCATGAAGCAAGCATTCTGCACGCATCAATGCAGTTTTCATAGCGATGTTATATGCTGCCATCTGATTATTATTTTCCGCATGTTCAGATACTATATCCGTGTGGATAAGTTTTCAGTGCATAGCGAAGTCCGTGCAATGACACGTGAAGGCTGTAATAAAAATAAAAAAGCAATGGCGTCTTTGAACGATTGGTTCAATGGCATTGACTTATATATAACGCATGGAAGTTACGGTTGCCAACGGGTATCTGCATTAGTTGGCAAACATGTACATTGAAGAATGTATCTTTTGACAAATGCTTCGTATACGAAAAAGTGTGTTAATAGACGAATATATGCATTGACAAAGCGTACATTGATAAATGCCGGAGCTGATAATGAACTAGACGTATTAGAAATCTGTTACAACGTCATATTAAGGTTCAGAAAGGGTCATTTTAATGAGAGGTTATATGAACACCTACTATATCCAGCCATTTTAAATATGCAATACTGAACTAACCTTCCCGACGTACAACCGTTATTGCGAAGAAAGTACGATCGCTTATAAGCTGCTCTATATTAACTTACTAAATTATGATTACAATATTATCATTTTGAGATGAGGATTGATTGTAAAGGAAGTCATTTCTTCACGATAGTGATAGATATATCATAAGTAAGTGCAGCTAATTAATCTTTCTACAAAGAGCTGATAAAATTGTGGATACGCTCTTACGAATATTTTTTTTCATTAATGAATTTATTTCATTACTTGCAGCCATGCATGAAATAATATGAAATAAGAAATAATATGGGCTGGCATTTTTATCGAATATTGCCTGATTTAATGATTGTATTTTTTGAGACTTGGAAAACGTTAGCTAAGGCTTCCGTTTAATATAAATAATTCCATGCCCTCAACAACATTTATATGATTTGTGAAACTCATGAATATCATACCATAAATACATGCCCTAAATAACAATGATTTTTCATGCATAAATACGGCAGACGACGTAAGGCTTCAGCAGACCTTAACTTTCCGTCTTAAACGATATTATTTATAATAAAAAGCCGTAAAAGTATCAAGCATATGAACAATCGCCTCAATTATATTATAAAATGCGATGCCGATTAAAGCGTGAGAGCTACGATGGTAGAGATTTTTTATAAACAATACTTTTACTCTGTAATTCATCTACGCATTTCTATTAACTGTAATAGTACTAAATGCGAAACCTGTCTACGTATCCTGACGGTAGATTTTTTATCATTACCGGTAGATTGAAGTTACCAGTATCGCCTGCTTTCAATGCCACGGGTAGATTGTGTGCAAAGACCGCAGTCAAGCTCGTCAAAAGTGCTGACGCTTACTATCGGTCAATGCTACCAGCTTGATTTTTTTTATAGCAGTACTTTTCATTCTCTGCAGCGGCCTCATTGCAGTGCCTCATTGCGAAGAGATATCTATTTATAATGATAAAGCCGAAACAGTCATAAGACTATAAACAATCGAATTATATTTCGTATGCCACAATTACGAAGCACGAAATAGCACGTAATAATCCGAGAAACCTTTATCGAGTCGATAAATGAATGCCGGAATAATAAGTCAGTGTTTAAAAATGTCAAGTAAATGCTCCTATATATAAATTATATGATTTTTTTGGGCCGTATACTAAGATTCTGATCTAATGAGCGACATTCATTCAATGCTGCAACTAACAAAGGTTGAGATTTTTATTGCTATATACAATAATTCTACTCCATACTTTCCTGCTGCTTTATTGTTGGAGATGAACATTCTCATCTCATCGATTGCATTAACTGAGATTAACTGAGATAACCTATAATAATTGCAGGTTCAGTAGCGTTTCAGTGAAACCTAATTATTCTGACGTATATAACCTAATCACGTATATTCTAACAACCGAAAAATTCCTCTTACCTTCTCTTGCAATGTCGATTCTCCGCACGAGAGGGATGCTATGACCACACACACGCTACACGCTATGACCACACTGGACGACGGCTCAGCGTACACTGAGGGCAGAGGCATGCGTGCGGTTGGATAATAGTTTCTGTACAAGTGGTACCTATCCATGTTTACGGAATTAATACCCGTATTTGTAATGAACCAACAATTCAGATGAATAAATAGAAATACATCAACATTTAATATACCATTCCTTGTTGTTAACGTATTCACTTATAAATAAGTGGATAGCTCATGCACCCTCATTGAGCTCCGAATCAAATGGAATCTGATGGCAGTTCAACTCAATATATTGTCGACCAAAAACGACCTACAATTATTAGCTGCAGATATTCATTTTGAAACCCAATAATTAATTGAGTATTGGCTGTCCATGCGATCATTGGTTGCCCTGGAGCTATAACAAATACGCTCGTCATCTCCAGCCGATTTGAAATTTGCAGCTTCTTCTTTTTTCGCTGCTGTGTCATTGGCGCCAAGTCGCCTTTTTTAGCAACGTTTTGATGGGTGCATAGTAATTCAGAGGCACTTATGCTGCTTACTGAATTATCTTAATTATATCGAGAATATATGTAAATAATGAGGATCTGAATTTATTTTCTATGAATAATCGTGACGTTAAACAGGAAGACAATATGAATGTTCGAAGATGTCCCGTGCATAGTACACACCTGTGCCGTATGGTGGCGCAGATCGAGTGCTCCTATAGAGCTACTTTTAGCGACGTAAAATTTGCAAAACGTTTCTATTCACTTGTTTCCAAATTCTCACGCAAGAAGTCGATAAATGAGATGGCGTTTGTTAAATATACGTACGTGAGAAAATTAAACTATTTCCAAGTGAATAATTAACTAGCACCTCTGTACTAGTGCCTCGATCTCACTCAACAAGGTCATCAGTACAAGGACCATCAGTCATCGGCAAATCAATGAATCATCAACATTATACCAGTCAACGATTAAATAATGAATTAATAACAGTTTTCCTAGCTCAACTTTAGTTGAGCTTAAGTTTAGCTTCGATGCACAAATCTCGGTAATTGAATCAATCTGAATTAAATCAATCTCGGCCGAACATTGCTTCAATTACCAATCAATTTCTTCAAAACTGAATTATATATTCAGACAATTCATTCAAACACGTTGTAGGCAGTAATATATCAAGGGACAAATGATATCAACATTGTTGCCTGACAGGTTGCCTGAAGTTGCCTTCACTTGACGTCGCCTGCGATGGCTGCACAGCGGCTGCATCAGCACCTTAGCGCTCCCTGATCCCACACAGAAATCATTCAAACATGATTTCTAGACAATATTTAAATAAATAATACCAATACATTTCTCACATAGTAAGGAAATTGGGTCGATATCAATAGTATTACGCAACGTGAGTCTAAAGTTGTACACATTACTCGAGTAAAATGAATTAATTTCTCAGTGAAACACCGGAGTATTGATCTAGGGACATAATTCATGCAATGACATGCATTTACGGGAAATTAGAACGAACATTAGACGCAATGCTTAGGTACACGTACATAAACATATATTAAATTGGAGTAAAATTATTAATGAACTATCTTTAAAAGCAAAAATAACGTATTTAGCAATTATATGTACGAATAAGTTATCTCAAGAAACTCAGAAAAATACCTGGCTAGCATCAGTAAGTTTCTTCCAGGGCCTTTTGCCCCTGATGAGTCGCGCGATGCTGGCGGGGGTGTGGGGAAGATGAGAGCGGCGGGCGGGCGGGAGTTGCTAGACCTCGACTGCTCACAGTGACCTCCTTGTCGGGTGAACTCGACGACCCGCCACTCATGCTTCTCTGCACATATATACATCCTTTCCTTTATTGTCTCGATTGTAAAAAAAACTTTCTCAGCCGCTCACCTAGGCTCTAATTAGAAAGCACTTCAGTGACAGAAGGCATTGCTAAAATTAAGAAAAAGGTCCGTAGAACCACACAAGTATTGAATTAAGGAGGCTAAACAAAGCAGATCTAAGAATAAAATTGGGGGGAGAATGACCTCTGAAACGATGCAGCGCCAGGTATACGAGACCTATTCTAAGAAAGAAATCAATATTACCAAGGGAATCGCAGATTCTAGAGACAAAAGCAGGGAAAAAATTAGAGGAAGCAACTCGGTCGTCCGACCGCAGTAACTAGCATCACTGGATAAAACCTGAGCAACAGAGGAAGGAGCCGAAACAGATCCTAGAAAAGAGGATTGAGCTGACATCTTTCTAGAATTAGAAACACTGATGTTAAAAGAAGGTCAAATTAATGAGTCCAAGTAACTGAGAATTACCATGAAAATTCGGAAATTAGAACTTAAAAAGGAAGTATAACAGAGCAATAACAGAAGGAAAGCAATGAAAGGTGTCAAAATATCAGTTGATAAGAAGGTCAAAACATGCAGCTTGAAACATGTTCTGCCAGCGATAAAAGCTGCAGCTATCTTATCGATTGTTTCTCAAAACATAGTCTCGCATTGAAAGGCGACATATCGTCAGCAATATTTAACCAGGTCACTTGATATGATTGAGCGAAAGATTGAGATGTTGTCTGCTGTGTTGCAAAATACAGACACGAAAAAAAGACGCGACATATCGTGTCGGCAAGAAAATTCAATGAATATAGTTGGAGAAAATGCTCCTGCGTGCTAGTCGGGTAAGTAGTGCCGATGAAGCAACAAAATATATCAATAAACATGATGATCATTATTAACGGAAACTCGGTAATAAATCAATTTAGCACAGTTTCGTGCATACATCACATACAATATTAAGTGATGAACAAAATTATAGAAAGGTAGCTAATATTGGTATCCGATCTGCATTTAAATGCATTCGATTTGCCTGGTAGTCTGTCACATTCAAGGATATAACGGGACATCGTCAATCGCTATGTGTTACGAGACTTGAATCTATAAATACGCTACTAATGTAATTTAACGTAGGGTAAAATGGTAAGTATTATTTGTATGTAAAAGGCATTGAAGTCATAATACGACGTGAGAGAATGCCTGGACAACAAGCTTGCGGTCTACATGCAATGAAAGGCACAGCGTGCACTGCTCTCGCGCCTCCCTATTTACAACACTTCTCTTTAACTTCACTTCTTGTTGTTTGTCTGTCTGCTACAAATCTTGTAATCAAAATTTAACACACTTCTACTTATCCTATCGATCTGAAATTTTGCACACTTGCGTAAAGTTGGAGACAATGCATGAATCAAATGACAAAAGGAATAATTTTATATATTAAAATTTTTTTCAATATTAAAAAAATTAAAAATAATTTTTTCAGTTACAAATATTAAAATAGATATTTAACACACTTCTACCTGTCCAATCGATCTGAAATTTTCTGATGGATGAAATGAAACTCATCAGAAGAAACATTAGAAAATATTAGATTGAACAAATGAAAAATAAAACCATTCTACAGAATAAGAAGATGATAATTGAAAATCTCTTGAACACACTTCCAAATAATTCTTTCGTTACTAATGGAGTCAACGATGAATCGTGACGAATGAATTTAGAATTTATTTACAAAAACTAAACAATAATTAAATCGACAGATACAGGTCTTCACAATAGTTTTAAGTATTTTGCTATTTGCTAAAAAAACAAGCTCTATGAGGATAAACCAATAACCGAAAAACTCTCGCGAATAAAATGCTTTGGACACCACGCAGGAGCTCCAAACACAAGCACAATTGTGCACGCACCAACACAAGCAAAGCACGAGCAATTGTGCAAGCACCAACAGAAGCACAATTGTGCACGCACAACACAAGCACTACAATCGACTTTGTGAACAGATACAAACACTAAAGCAGTATAAATCGTGGAACACAAAGCTACATGAGGAAATAAGTTTCATGTGATCAGAGTAGCAAGGTTGGGTTTGAGAGTAGAAAGGTGGTAATACTTAATTACGTACAGAACATTCACGATACAGCAAATAGACTGGAAGACGCGACCAACAAACAATAAAAAATAAGGCAACAAAAGCTAATTACTCAGAAATGAGCTTTATTCCTAATTACTATTATTATTATCGTGTAATGATACTTCGCTTAACTTAACACATCTACTTCAGATCTGTCATTTATTCTAGCATTAGTCACGTCAACAAAGTCAGCCTCGGCTGGTAACATTACAGCTCAATCAAAATATCAATAAAGAATTAATCATAACATCGACTTAACAAATTCCGTTAATATCGCTTATTCTTTATCTATTTAGAATGCCAAAGTAACCACAAACATTATAAAAAATAAGTAAAGCATTGCTTAAGAAAAGAGCGACAGCATCAGAAAGTAAGCAGAGTAAGTAAAGCAGACCTCATTGAGCGACAGCATCAGAAAGACAAGAGATCGGAAATAAACATTTGTCATACGGGAATGAGCGCGCTTCAATAATGCAAAATGTATGCGAGCTAAACTCGGTACTGTGTTGTTCATCGTGAGCAGCGAAATAACGATATGAGAATCAAAAAAATACTAATGACTTGAATGCATTTCTAATGATGTTGGACACAAATTCGGATTATTGAGTTTTAGAATTGTCATCTGTGACTCCTCATTAAATGCAAAGAATTATTTATGAATAGAGTTTGTGCAAAAGACAGCGCGAAAGAGATTAATGAATTTATTTCTATTTAATAATGCTAAAAACAACACTACTTGACGCACGGGATGCATAGAAATAAACTAAACGAAACAACTCCACGGGCCATTCAAACCATAAACTAGGCAAGACGTTGGCGACGACGTAAATTTTAATGTTAACTACTCGTGCATCACACTCATTGCAATCGTGAATTATAAAGTAGTATGACAAAAAATGAATGGAATTCATCATCAACACTCAACTGGCTGAAAATTCGAGTATTTCAAAAAAAATTCACCATATCTTTATAAAAGAAAACGTTTCGGAGTCCAGCTCCATCGTCAGTTCAAACCACAAAATTCTGTTCAGAAAAAGTGTTTATAGTGCATTTACTTTAATAATTGATTTATTTGTGTTTCTAGGACTGAACTTTTTCTGAACA